TCATGACATATTAATGAAGGAACAATCACAACTTACAGCAGTTAGTGGATATGATAGGCATGCAACATGATAGTCCTTTGAAATGAATGGGTTTTTGAAACATTAGGATATATGATCATGTTTCCAGCATGTGCTTCTTTGTTTTTCATTTTTAAAGCATTCAAAAATGGGCAAAGTCTGTTTGCTGTGCAAATGAGAAATACATTTACGGAGTAAATAAGTAAACAAAATCCATTTGACTTCTAACACTTAGCTCAGATTTATTTGACTTTTTATTGGAATGAAATTTTGGTGTAGAGCAGGAAGATGTCTGAGAGTAGAATGGTTAACTGAGGATTAGCTGAGTCATATGGGGTCAGATTATCAATGAGCTATTTTTGGTACCTACTATAAGAGTAGAAAGCTGCCTCCTGCATACTGGGCAACATGAGAGAGCCTTAATCCCAGTTCACATGACAGGGTTTTCAAAGCATGGCAGACTGCACGTGGTGATAAAAAAACATACATACCAGTTTTAGTCATACAGTGTGTGGCCTGCAGAGACTCAGCAAAAACTACACATGTGAACCACTCTCACTCACAGACAGTACCCGCTTAGATGGGAATTCTCGCAAGATTAAACGTGACTTTGACACAAACCAACATGCCGGAGGAGGAGCGTGCTGCACACTTCAATCACTTCTCCTTCTGATTGGCTACATGTCACATTCAGCAGTATGTTGTAGATTTGTCCCCAAAAGGAGACCTAATCAATCTAACATGAATCAAAGACCAAACCTATGAAAGGAGCGGTTCCAGCATCCTTCTGAGTGGACCGAAGCATGTATAACACACCACACATAGTAAGATTATCTGGTAAGATTATCTTTAGATCCATTATGTTAATCCTGCACATCTTTAAGATGGTCAGAAGGGGCAAGGCTGGTCAAAAATTTGCGTGACTATCCTGCCGTGTGAACCAGGCTTTAGGGGGACTTTGGGAAACATATTTAGCAGATAAAAATATGATTATATAACTTTTGTGCTTTGCAAATATAATTATGGTTGTTTTATTGTTAGAACGCGTAATTATGAAAGCATCAAAGTAAAAGCATACAGTGGACGCGTGTAAACAGAATCACCCCAGTGTGCCCTCTTTCCAGAATGGGGAGAGAGAACGGGCCATGTGTCACCCCCCCCCCCCCCCCCCCCCACACACACACACACACACACACACATACACACACACACACACACACACACACAACATCACCTATTGATTGACTGCCAGCGCCCAGACTAAACCCCCTTTCAAGGACAAGTGACTTCAGTTTCACACACACACACACACACACACACACACACACACACACACACACACACACACACACACACACAGCCATGTCCTACAGCTTTTTGCTTTGAGCAGGTCTCTAAAGTACACCGCCACACTTGTCTTTGTTTTTGATGGTGAATTCAGTACAGGAGCAGCTGCAGACTCGAGTCTGCTTCGATCCTGACAGATGGTTTTGACAGCGTCGGAGCCCGCTGCTGCTGTTATTCTAAAATGAGCTTTAAATGTGGTAATCAGCCAGAGGAGCTAATGTTTTATATTAACATTAATACTCCTGGTAGAGCTGTTTTTCACTGACAGAAATATCCTAAATAGGAGAGGCAACAGCTTATTTTACAGGAATGTTTGTTTAGTTTTTTTAACTGCATTTATGACAAAAAATATCAATGATTTTTAGACACCTTTTTTTTTGTGTATTTCACATCCTAGCATGGCACGTTTGAGTGTGATTTGCATGGAAAACAAACCAAATTTAATGGTTTTCTTTTCCCTTCACACCTTTTTGTTTCTTTCTGGTAGAGGGACCAGCGCAGAGTACAAAAGTGTTGATTTGTTCTCATGGTTCCACTTTGAAAATTGGTGTTTTGCATACAACGTGATACATATTCAGCCTGACATCTATAGAAGAAATACATTCTCACTAGAATATGACTTTTTTTTACACATTGAATTAATGACATAGAATTTTTTCTGTGAAATTAAGTATTTGATTTTTTTTTACATTTTGAACTTAACCAGCAACATTTCAACAGCACAATATCAGCTGAAAAAAATTCAACCAAAGAAATTAACCCGCAAAAATGCAACTGAGGTGACCTCCTAGTGACCCAAGCCACAATCACATGGTCAGAGAAGCATTTTTGACTCAATCTGTAAATTTTTTCTACTGAAATTCTGCTAATGAATCTTTTGCTGGTGTATTTTAAAGTGACAGTGTGTGTTTTCCCTGGCGATACGGGGCAGTACATACCTAAATCACTGCAAGCAAGCAGTGTTTTGTGTTTGAGTAAGACCATTCTAACGGATGGCCATTGGGGTCAAAACTTCCCCGGAGAACAACCTCCTACAAGCACATCAGCCTCCCTTTCATCACTGGCGACAAGTGAAAAGGTAAATATGTAAAACAATGTTTATGTTTGTTATTGTTCAGTAAGTGCTTTTTGTCCTCACAGGCTCCCGTAGAAGAACATTGGCGTATAAAAGGCACCGCCCAGAGACTTATACCCACTCCCGATTTTTATGGTTATATGTTACAGGGCTGCCAATATTTTTCAACAACTGGGCATCACTTAATTCATTTTCAACAACATTTCGATGCATATTTCTAGAGATTATTGGTAAAACTACACATTGTCTCTTTAAGTAATAAAAAATTCAAATACATAATTTCACAGAATTAAAATTTTATGCCACAAATTCAATGTCTGGAAAAAGTCATATTGTGGTGTTACTGTATTTCTTCCAAAGATATCCTCCCTTTCTTAATCTACTCCGCCACTTTAGTTACACACTGTACTTTAGTACTATTCATTACAGTTACTTGTTTGGTAGACTCCACTATAAATGGTCCATCTCAGCTGTTAAATGTGGGTTTTTTTTGTTTAGTTTTTTTGTTTACTGAGGATATGAACCAGGTACAAAAATATAGTGAAATTTACCTCCATAAAAGCAACAATGCTGAACTTACAGAACAAAGTTTATGACTAAACACACTTCCATCTCTCTAATTGCAAATGTTACAAAAATATTAGTTATAATTTTTTGTGACACGAAAAGAGCAAAGCTTGTATTTGTTTATTTAGTTTTGTTTAAAAATAAATAGATTTTGCATTCATTATCACATCTCTTGGTGACATTTCCACCTGCTTTAAAAAGTGTTGATTTGATTGTTCTTTGGCTCATAAATGCACAATTGCCAGACTAAAACAGAACATATAACGTTGACATAAATGCATCTTTGTTAAACGCCAAATCACTCCAGGGTTTACATCCAGTTATTCAGAAATCAGGAAAGCAAAGTTCAAATCTGCCGGGATGGGCATCGACAGGCCAGATCAGTGAAAGGATTGCTAAACTTGCACCTCTTGTTGAATTTAGACCCACTATAATGATTGGATTGCACACAATCAAATGAGAATAGGTGACCAAATATTTGCATGAATGAATAGATGAGGGGTAGAGGTGATAGGCAGGAAGATGGGGTTATGATTGCAAGCAGTGTCATGGGACGAGGGGGCACCGGGTGCCGCCAAGCAGCTGTTGAGCTCCGCCGGCCTGCTGTGTGTTATTTATGGCAGTGATGGTTAGGATCTCAGCATGGTGTCTGCAAAGTGGGTCAGCATATTATCCATCTCTGCTTAGCTCCCTTTTTAAGTTGCTATCTAACCCTCTCATCACAGAGCTCTTTCATTTACACTGACTGAATAAAAGCATTCTGTTCCAGCTTTGTTTCCCTTCAGTTCGGTTTTCACCAACTCTTCTCTCTTTTTTTTTCCTTTTCTTACACCACCCTAAATCCTGTTATCACTCCCTTATCTCCCGACTTTCCCCCGACTCTTCACTGGCCGGTGTCCAAGCCGTGGTGTTACCAAAAAAGTGAGCAGGTAGAGCGGAGAACGCGTAGCTTGCGTTCAGTATACTGTTACAGCCAAAGACCTTCATTAGCAGCCTTCCACCACGATTAAGGAATCACATTAAAAATAATGCATGCACACGACACACAGGAGAGAACACTTGCATAGCCTCACACAGCGGAATACACTCGAATAACAAGGTCCCGTGCTCAAAGGCTTCATAGCAAACACAGGTTCATGGATTTCCAACAGCGAAACCACCCACTGGTGTAAATATGTGATAAAATATGTACTGAATTCCTCTTAGTGAGTCCGTGAATCCTCCTCAGAGGGCACGATCATCAGGCCGCGCGGCGATACGGATGCAGCTTTCTGAGTCATCAAGGTTTCTCTTGAATCAGCGCTGGAGTTGGTTTTAGACCCTCAAGGCTTCAGGGCTGCCAGGTTCCCACAACTCTTAAGAGCCGAGCTGATGATTTGCAATCCCCTCTACGACTGGCCTAAAGCCTTAATCAGAATCTCAATCCCAACAGCCCCCGGGGCATGGGCGGGGCAGGCGCCTATTCCCACAGCCAGGTTGCTAGGATACAACACAGAGACCTAATAAAACTGGGCACCTGTGTCTGAACTGCACCTGCTACTCCTAGGGGGGAATTATTAAAATCTGAGCCAGCACCTTTCCCCTAATCTCTCTGTCCTGTTCATCCGCGAATTGGTTCAAATCTTTGAAGTTACCCAGGGCGTTTGAAGTCGGCTCTTTTTTTTTCTTTTTCTTCGAACAACAATAAAATAGTCTCATCCACCCTAAATGCTGCTAAACAAGAAGGCATTTAAGCTCTTCCTCTCATCTTTCTGTTTCATAAACTGACTGGAAAAAAGAAGAGATGTAAAGAAATATGACATATTCCGCTGTCGGACGTCACACACACACACACACACACACACACACACACACACACACACACACACACACATGCACACACACACACACATGCACACATCCAGGAGCATGTTTTTAAAAAAATAAGTTCTGTTGCAATAACTCTTGCATCTGTTTCATTTTTGTCTCTCTTTTCATTTGCTTTTCCACCCAGGATTCGCTCCATTCTTTTCTTCTTCTCAGAACAATACAGAACATATAACGCTTCATGCTGGGAGAACAGCTTTGGAAGAGATTGCAACCAATTAAAGGAAGCAGTTCTCTTCTTTGAAGAAGTGCGGCACACAAGACGAAGTGGTACGCTTGTAATCTCACCCCATGTCTCTCTGCCAGCTAACGCTCATCCATCGTGACCACAGCAGGTGGCAAAGGGGCAAGGAAGAACAGAAGAAGCGGAGCTTTGCACCAGGGTCACTTCATCTTCGCCCTGCACCGACCTGCCTCTACATCTGCAGCTCCTATTGCCTCATCAACAAGCACTTTGAACGTCAGCTGTGCCCAACTGACATTGTGGTCTATGTGGATCAGACCCCTGGGATTTGACGCATGCTACTGTCCTACTTCAGCTACTTTTTCTGTGGCTCCTCAGAGCACTAGGCTGTCCTCCTCTATGCAACCAACTGTGCCATTAAGGCACAAGCTACCTGTTGGAATGCAACACAAGGCCTTTATTAACATAAATTTCTACTTAAAGGTGACATGTTATGACCTTTTTCCAAAGTTAAAATAGTTCAATGGTCAATACAAAACATGTTGATGAAGTTCTGTGAATAAAATCCCTCTCACATGAGAGATTTCAGCAGTTTTAATCTTAACAGCTTCAACTGGCCACGCCCACCCATCCCCCGATCAGGCTGCTATAAGCTGAGAAGCTCCGACATCCAGGAGGGGCTCGAAGTCGAGCTGCTGCTCTTCCAGCGGCAGCTGTCTCTTGCATGGGAGAGGTGTTTCTATTCTAATTCTCCCTTTTGTGATGTCGTAAACGGGGACCTTTTGAAATGGCGTGTTTTAGACACATATGTTCTAAAACCAAACACTGATAGAAAACAGATGGATTTTTTTATACATTTGAAATGTTTATAGAGGCAGTAGAGTGAGTTTTAGATAATATGTCCTCTTTAAAGGTGCAATATGTAAGAATGATATCCTGTGGTCAAATTAGGTCGCTGTAGTCCATTTTCTTAAGCCATAAAGTCACTTTCCTGGCTGTTGCCAGTAATGGATCTGCACCAGAAGATTCTAGATGACAAACTTGAGCCATTCACAGTAAGCTGGTAGTAGATAAATACATTATTATATTTGGTGTTGGCACCTGTGTTTTACGGTAAGGAAGATTTACTACTCGTATTACAGTAATATTTCTCTAGCATTACAGGGAGTGCAGTTGTTTTTCATCTTGCTGTGAGCTTGCTGTTATTGCTCTGAACAAGCCATTAAAGGAAGTAAAACGCCACGACAGACTCATTATTCACTTCACATACATTTCACTGTCATTCCATGCTGTTGTTCTTTTTCAAACACAGAAACAGTTTCGTTTCTGTGTTTTAAAAAGAACGACAGCATGGAATTAGAACCACGACACAGCATGAACACACCTAAGAATTCACTGTCACATCGAGTTGTTGATAATTGAGGTTGCTTGAGATATTTTTAGAGCAGACTATTTGCTTCTAATTCATAGTTAGCACTGTTAGCTCAATGTTAGCCTTTGGCATGCTTCACCTGATATTAAAACAAAAAGAGTCTATGGCTTCGTAGGGGTATAAGAAATGACTTCTGGGTCACTCCGGTTTACTGGCTTTGGTTCTTTAAACAACTCTACAAATGCCTGCGATGCAGGATTAGCTTGCTGCAGATCCAGCAACATCACAAACAGTAACTATGTCCAACTTTGTTTTTTCAAATGGAGAAAAGCCGGCACCCCCCAGCCGGCTGAGATTGAAACGTGTTTCAGGATAACCTTTCTTTCAGCACGACTGAGACATTAGACTGTTTTGTGATTATTTCAGTGTAGAATTCTTACAAATAGAAAGTTTTTTTGCGTAATTTTTCATAATAGAAATGGTCACATTCACTTCAATCAGGCAACCAAACTGCTCTGTAAGATGAATTTGTCTTTGAGATTAAATGACCCTGCTTCACTCAGCTGCAAATACCATCCACTGAAACGGTCAACCCACAGGCCTGAGACATCAAATAAAGCTAAACTGATACGAGTCTGTATCTATGCTGTACTGGTCCCACTGGACCTGTCTCCTCCACTCCTGCCTCCCTGATGTTTGTTACTGCCTGCATCCTCATCTAATGCATTTGTCCGTCTGTGACTCTTATCCATCTGTTTTATTCTTCTCAAGACAGAAAGACACTTATGTCCTTATGTTAGTTTCTTGGTTTTATGTTATTGTTATGAGTTTTTGACTTCCCTCAAGATGATGACACCTGGGGTCGGTTGGCAGTAAGGTTTCATGGCTTTGCCACAATACTACAATAAAGTATTAGTACACTCACTATGCTGAGAAAGGATAAGTATCGGGAGTTAGTGGAATTTTGATAAAATAGCCCACTGAAGCGAGTCCTCTTGTGCTACTGAAGCCAAACGGTTTTCCATCTTTCCCATTTTTATTACTAAGAGTTCTGGTTTTCTTTTACTGAGTTATGTTGGCTTCACACTAACGGTCACTAACGGAAATCTGCCGAATACACACATCAGAACAAATCATTTAGTATTTAAAGCTGTGAAAATAGATTTAATGTGACTAAAATGAATCAAAGAAAGTCTGCTGACCTAGTCGTCTGATTTGATCACACAATTATGGACGTAACAGGAGTTTACTAATGAGGGTACCTGCCTGTGTGTGTGTGTGTGTGTGTGTGTGTGTGTGTGTGTGTGTGTGTGTGTGAGTGAGTGAGTGAGTGAGTGAGTGAGTGAGTGAGTGAGTGAGTGAGTGAGTGAGTGAGTGAGTGAGTGAGTGAGTGAGTGAGTGAGTGAGTGAGTGAGTGAGTGAAAACGAACATTTGATCCTGTCTTGTCTTTATAAACCAGTGTTTAATATTTTTTTGCTACATTTGCTATATGTTTACCTGCAATGTCATCTAGTTTGCCACTTCCTGTTGGATTGCTAAGTGTTTCTCTGTGTTGTGCAGTCTCTGTTTTTCAAGCTTTGACAGTCTTTCTTAACAATGACAGATAGTGGGGAAGAAAAGATAGAAAAGCATGGTCAGAGATCTGCAACTTTTTTCTTGTTACCATCCCAACGGACTGCATAAGCGGCCATCTTGAACCACGCATGGCAAACTGATGGCTGCAGGGAGTTTAAAATGAAAGAAACCTTTCCAGTCATGCTGCAGCCACACTGTCATCTGCATTATGGACAGCTCCACTGAGAAATTTGAAACTCTGTTCTCTCATAATGCTAAACAAAAGCTGAAGTGCTCTGGGGGTCTCATTTATCAAACATTGCGTAGAATCCTTACTAAAACCGTACTTAAGCTCAGCAAAAAAAAAAGTACTTATGCCAAGTAGGTTTGTGATCTATCAACTGCACACAATCTCCACTTCCTAAATCAGAAACTATCTAGAAAGGTTCTCAGCTTCTTTTTAGTCACATCCCGCCCTCACCACGCCCACTTACTGCCATAAACAGTCAGTGCAAAGTGCCTTGTGGACCTCATGCATATACATAAGCCGGCTGTTGCAGCGCTCCACCAATGACGATGGCGACCGTAGATCAAGGCAGATCAAGGAAGCGCAATTTCACAGAAGCAGAAGTTGAGGTACCTGTGGGTGAGGTGGAGAAATGAAAGGAAGTGCTTTTGCAAAACAAATAAGAGAAAATCCACGGAGTGGCACAGCGTTGCTGAAGCCGTCAATGTTGTGAATTCTTCAGAGAGATCTGTGGCGGATATTTAAAAAATGGTCCAATCTGGATTTGATCCCAAGGCTCCCGAGTGAAAGTCATACACACTAACCAGTCAACCAAACAGAGATCACCCTTGTCCAAGTAGCCAGGGCGCATGATCAATCGGGTCACAGTGACAGGACACACACAGTCACAAACGCATGACATTCTGTCTCAATCTGTCCCCCTGCTGACATTCTGCATTCCGTATTCTGCGCTTCAGGCTGTGTGTGTGTGCGTGCATGTGTGTGTACATGCGTGTGTGTGTGTGTGCGAGCGCGCATGTGGTGGGCCTTGCTCTGTGTGAAAAGGAAGCGGTACAAGTGATAATGCTGCAGGATTTCAGAATTTTATCCTTCTCAGCAGCGGCATTGCAGGTGCTCTCCATGTGCAAAATGTGCGTAAGCCAGGTCCTTAGTCAACTTAAAGTTGCGCACATTTTTCCGCTAAGTTTTCTTCCATAAATCCCAAATTTTGCGTGGAAAGTTGCTTACGCAGTTTTCCGAACCCGTTTTGTGTGTAAGCCAGCTTGATAAATGAGGCCCCTGGTCTTTATTTGAGTGAGTCAGTGTTATGTGTTCTAGACCCTAAACCAGCTCTGTCCTGAATGTGTCAAGCTCAAACATCAGGGTTTTTTATATTGGTGCTGAATGAGGAGAAGCACAAAAGCAGGGAAAGCACAGAGAAGCTTTATGAATGTGCCATCGGCTTTAATAGTGGCAGTGCAGATAAATAAGCACACAGTGTCATCTCAAATAGTTCTCTTTTCTCCCTCTGATGCATTTGTTTTGTTTTAAATCGCTACTTTAGATAATGTGAAAAGTACTGAAAGTCCTCCTGGCTGGGACATGCATGTACATTTGGATGAGGAGCATTTGCAACAGGCTTTATTAATGCACATTTTATTATATATTACAACAAAATGCTGTAAATGCTTAAAAACAAACAAACAAAAAGACTAAAACTAAAATATTTGCTCAAAACAAGAAAAAAAATCTTTAAACTTTTATAAATGATAGAACTTGCTTTAACCCTTTAACTATATTTAGTTAATTCATTAATACCATACCATGCCATACCACCTTTATTTATATAGCACTTTTAAAACACAGCCATACGGCCGACCAAAGTGCTGAACAGTCACACAATAACAGAGATAAAAACATAAAACAGAGCAATAAAATACAATTAATACATGTTTTAAAACTCATCAACTCATTTTTAACAGGAACATGCTCCAACGTCCTGCTGCACACACCTCCTTTTCTTTGTTTTAGCTTTAAATGCCTGTTAAACACACACAATTTTCTTTATATTCACCTCTATCACCACAACTGCCACAACTCAAACACACACTAGGCAGCTTCATCAAAATTCTAATTGAAAGAGCGTATTTAAATCCATAAACCACACACCTCGATCCTGTGCTGCATTTAAATTAGTGTGATTACTCTCTTTCAAATTCTCAGGGTACAACTCTCAGATTTTGCATGCCAACAACATTGTTTAATGCATGAAACCTGCTAAACCCTCACAGTTGACGTTTCCAGATAGATATGGAGCCAAATTTTCCTTTAAATGCATAAAAGCTAAGGCTAATAAAACAGTCAGAGCTCAGTCATAGGGGCAGATCCATGGTTGTCTTTGGAGCTGTCTGCATGAAATTGGACAGCAGTAGGAACATTCAGAGCAAAAATAAGGTGACGTATTCGTAGTGACTTAGATCAGTCAACGAGGAAGTCCGCCATACGACATAGAAGTAGTGGAAGTACCTCTATCTGCTCGTTTCAAAGAAAACCCCAAGTCTAAAT